AGGAACCTACAAAGTGTCTGTTTTTACTTGACTGAAAGAAATGAATCCTCAGCATCTTGCGTCCTAAATATAATGCCCTGGGAGAGAATACAGCAGCAAACCAGGCAGACAAGGTTCCCAGGAGCCCCAGGACCCAGTAAAACGCCTGGCACACCGTTGGCACTTACATATTCATTGAACAAATACACGAATAGCGACTGGGCTGAGGTTGTCAAGGTCACAGTAGTATTTCCTCTCAATGCCTTGGGTCTCTGCAACCACAGACTTCCATCTCATCTGTTAGCCACAGCTTTCATTTTTTTTTTGGCCAATGTTATACTTGAATTTGATTCATACACTAAAAATTATGGACCATTATAAATATCTTGGGTTTCCTCTGTGGGTACCTTTTTCTGGCCAAATCTTCATAGTCAAGAGATGTCAAGCCACACTGCACTATTCCCAACTTGCCTGCAAAGATTTACTAAAATAAAATCAAATTGTCTTATCCAAGTTACAAAAACAAAAACAGTTATGAAACGTTTTGCTGTACAAATGCAGAATGATATAACTGTAGCGTTAACGTGTTTCAGTTCCACAATTGTTGTGTCACGCTGAACTTTCACAAATTGTCATTTTTCTTCCATTCAAAATAGTTCAGTTACTAAGGAATTACCTTTCAATTAATAATTACTGCAATTCATTATAAAACATGAGCTAGCATTCTCATCAGTTTTTATGCACAATTATATCGTTGCTTAAGAATCCCCATTTGCAAAGGAAAATTTATAACAGCACAGTGGAAAACAAAGAAAAATCTCATTTTCTAAGGTAAATGTAGTCTAAGTAGTAGATAATTGAGGAGCTTATATATCATATGCTATTATTATCATTCTCAGTGGCTGAGTGCTAATCAGTTTAACTGCCTTCGAGCTATATATTTTTTAATGTGACTAAAAGGTATAGCCTCACAGTAAATTTAAATGGCTTATTAAAGGCCTTTACATGGCAACAGTATCATGTCAGAGATGAATGGTATTTCTAATTTGCTAGCCACTTGGGTCAAGTTTACTTTAAGCAGGAAGCGTATTTATATAAGTAACCGTCACACAAATGGTGTCTTGGGAAAAGCTGTTTGTGAGGGTTTAACATTTTTGAAGTATGCTTTTGTATATCTTCTAAATGGGCATTTTACAGGCATTGGGCCAAAGTGCCTTAAACCCTGACTCCTTAACTCAGGCATAACTGCTGATGCTGCCTGAGTGCGGGAAGATCCATGGGACATGCGTTTTTAAGGGTGTGGCCGGGGAGGGGTCTGGGTTTGAGCCTCCTTCATTTGAATGAAGCTTTTAGGGACTTTGCTACTTAAAGTACGGCGGGGTGGGGAGAGGCAGCAGCATCTACAGCACCTGGGAGCTTGTAAGAAATGGGAAAGCTCTACCACAGACCTACTGAACCAGAACCTGCAGTCAAACAAGATGCCCATATGATTTGTAAGCACTGCCCCAGGACCCCAAAGCCTCTGCTTTCTGGTGGCCAAGCACAGGTCATGGCATCCCCTTCTCTTTCCTTCTCACTTCTAGAATCATCCTCTTTGAAGGAGAATGTCCCCTCAGCCCATGTTTCCCTTTCTCATCACTCCCACACCCACTCCCCAGACCCAAATGAATTTCCCGATACCCAGAGTCCTGGCTTTTATCAAGAACCTAGTTCTCTTCTCCACCTGACATCATCGAGGGGCTTCCTGCTGCCGAATAACCTTGGGGAAGTCAAGGCGTTGTAAGAACTCCCAAGGCTGTGCCTTCATTCTGCTCTCCTGTGCCTGAGCCTCTCAGCCTTCATTCATTGCGCATTGAGATCCCATCCTTCTACGCTGTCCACTAGAATCCATCAGTCTCCCCTTGCCATTTGAATCCCTTCTGAGAGGGGATTTATTCATCCCTGTTTCCACTCATGAAAAGCTGCCTTCCTCTAACGTAGCCATAGCTTCTCTGCTAATAATCATGGGGGATTGAAAGGATGAAAGGGAGTCATGCCAGATATTCAGGGGACTTGCGGGCAGGGTTTACTCTGTAGAGGGAATTGCATGCAGTTACAACCCACTTGGCAGCCCTCTGCTCACACTTCATTTGGTTCCACCCGTGCATTAGGAGGCTCAGCCTGCAGCAGATGCCCAGAGGCAACTGGACCTCCAAACCAGACCCAGACTGGCCAGCCAGTTGGCCCCTAAAAGCCATTTGGTCCCTCCGTTCCAAACTGTGCCAGGGTGAAGGGCTTTACAAAAAAAGTGAACTGGGCGTTTAGAAGCACGTTACAAGTTTAGGCTCTGTGGGCCAGGGGTTAGCGCGGCCAATGGTCAGGGGTACAATTTGGGGTCAACCGGGTGAGGACCCCTTCGGGCTCCTCTGGAGTGGTCAGCACCCAGAACAGATTTCTTTAATCAGAGGAGACTGGCAGGGGGAGAAACAAGATTGCTTTCTGGCCGTAGTGAGTCCGAGGACCGCGTTTGCAGCTTCCGTTCTTCTTGAGACCAACGAACCAATTCTTTTCTGCATGCTTCTTGGATGTGTAGGTGTTGTAATGGTTTTCCTCCAACCTTTCCAGGAACAAACATTCCTCATTGGGTGTCTGCTAAAAAAAATAAAACCAGGAAAGAGTAGAATGATTAGTGAGTGGTTTTAGATCGGGTTCCTCTGTTTACTGGCTGTGTGACCTTGGGCAAATTAGTGAGGCTCTCTGTGCTTCGGTTTCTTTTTCAGTGACATTGGGAAAATAACGGAACCTGTCTCTGAGGGTAGAAATGATGACTTGGAACGGGACCCAGTACATAATGAGCCTTCAATGTACATCTGCTATTATGTAAACTCCCCTCACATCTGCTCTGCTCAGGACCCTAGAGTCTCCCACTTGGGAAATCCTGAATGACTTTAAGTACCTTAAGCGTAGAGCTGGGTCTTTTGTCTCTGCGGAGGCCTGGCACCTAGGTTTGACCATGAAAAGCATCCAAAATGGATAAAACCAGACTGTGATGCAGTGGGGCATTCTTAAGTTTGGTCTTGAAGAATAAATGAAGACCTACCAATTATACTTTACACCCTTGTGATTTTCACCAACAGTATCAGGGTTTTACTTTAGTGTTGTTATGAACATAAATGCTTGCATAAAATGTGTCCTAAGCATAAAACATGTCCTGGAACTTAAAGGATTTTTTTTTCAGTGAGAATAGCTTTTTTTTTTTTTTTTTTTTTTTTTTTTTTGCTACTTATCAAAAGAATGGTACTTGTAAAAAAGAAAATCACAACTTTACTTTAAAAAAAGAAAGAAAAAAGAAAAAATCACCCCAAAGCGCACCCACCCAGATATAGGCACCTACTAACAGTTGATGAACATCCTTCTGTACCTCTTTATGTATGAGCACACAGAGAGACATAGATAGGGCCATATAGATAGAAACTTAGGGTATTACCAAAATGGCATACTATGTCTGCTGTTTTAAAAATGGGTGATAAGGGCTTCCCTGGTGGTGCAGTGGTTGAGAGTCCGCCTGCCGATGCAGGGGACACGGGTTTGTGCCCCGGTCCGGGAAGATCCCACATGCCGCGGAGTGGCTGGGCCCGTGAGCCATGGCCGCTGAGCCGGCGCGTCCGGAGCCTGTGCTCCGCAACGGGAGAGGCCACAACAGTGAGAGGCCCGCGTACCGCAAAAAAAAAAAAAAAAAAAAAAAAGGGTGATAAACCTATGAAAACATATTTAATCTCACTAGCAAGAAGATGCAAATTCAAAAATGATTTAACATGTTGGCTATAATATCTGCAGAGAGCAAAAAGATTTACAAGTCTTCGTATCGGGGAGAGTGTGGGAAATAGTCACTGTCAGACACTGTTGGTGAGATAAGTTGGTGGAAACTTTGTGAGGGGAATTTGGCAATATGTATCAAAATTTAAAATATGCATTACCCTTGACTCAGGGATTTCACTTCTAGGAACTGACGCTTATGAGATAGTGGTATTTTCAAGGATGTTCTTTGAAGTATTGGCTATAATGGTGACATATTGGAAACAACGTAAATACCCATGGAAAGGTGATTGGTTAAGTGGATAGCGGTACATCCGTACAGTGGGAACCAATGCAAATGTAAATTTATTAAGTTGGATAGATAGTTAAAACATATTAAGTAGTGCAATTACATTGAAAATATCTACCAACAGTTACTGTTATACTAAAATTCATTCATTCCTCCCACTAGAGTGGGAGGAATCCCAGTTCTTTGCCCTTGCTGTTTGTCAGGATTTTAGAATACATTTATTATATTTGGATATAAACAGGAGTATTAAAATACATATGCTGTGTATGGACTTTGCTCCAATTCCAAGTTATGTGATCTCTATATTACCTCTTCACCCATATAGTGGTAGGTGAGTCCCTTTCTGGTGGTTTCCAGTCCTATTGTTTATTCTCTATTTGTGGCATGTTTGTCTGTTAGACTGTCAGTCCTACTGAGGGAAGAGATGGAATCTTGTCAGCCTTGTGTCTCCCCCAAGACAAAGAATTTTGCAAATAATAGGTGCACACCAGCTAGGTGATGAATGTAATCTGATTCTTGAGTTCATGTAAAGTATTCAAAAAAGTTACCTTTGTTTAGTAAGGAACTACATAACAGGAAGTTCTGCCCCTTTTTCATCTGTAGTCTAGTGCAGTGACAACTGGGTGAGACACTTCAGATCATTTTGGAACATGATGGGACATAGATGTAATATTTAATTAGGTGACTCTGTTGCCTCTAGAGGAACTCATCCAGACATTATTGTTCGATGCACGTTGTCAAGGGTGGGAGGAGGTAGGCAGTTTTGGACCTGGGTGGGTTGCCCACTCTCCTGCAGGGAGGACTCACCCCCATGACACCGCTCAGTGGGCGTCAGGCCTGTGTTCTGTGACGAAGCTCGGGACGGCCACGTCCCCCACCTGATGTGTCTGTTACACTAGAGCAGTTGACACACAGAATGGCTGAGTCACAGGCTGAGTCAGCAGGCCGAATTGGAGATGCTCTACCTGTGCCTCAACCAGGATTTCTCAGTGCTTACTGTGCACTTCGTGCAATGCCACAGGCCCGGGGATTAACAGTTGATTCATGCCTATTGTTTTAATTAATTTCTTTTTTATATTTAGCATGCTTTTCCCCAATTACATAGGTGACAGATACCAACTGTAAAAACTTTGGAAAATACGGAAAGGCATTCATATATTATAAAATCAGCCATTTACCACTCCCAAAGATAAATATATTAATGTTTTAGAGCCTTTCAAACTTATTTTTTAAATAAATATGTCCTTTCCACACACACGAATTTGTATCAGGATGGATGAATACCTAAAATTGGCTAAGAGCATGAGGCAGAGCCCTGAGATATTTTAGAACTTATCTTTATCAATGGGGGAATATAAAAATTCTTAGGCATAATATATTAATATCACCCTATGAATATTTCAGGTGAATCAGTGATGTCCAGGACTATGGTGGGAGAAGCGGGTGTCTGGAGCCTAGACGTATCTGGATTTAGGGGAGTCTTTATCAATTTTTTTTTTTTTTTTTTTTTTTTTTTGGGTAGGGGGGCCTCTTCCTTTGTGGGCCTCTCCC